AAAATTGGGTATTTTTGAGAGAACATGCTGTATTTTTATAGTTAGTCAGTCATAGTACATGAAACAGTTTTTTTATAATATTTATATGAACAGTTATCATAAATTCAGTTATTTGAATTTAGTTTTCAGAAATGTTTTAATTTTATTTTTGGATAAAGTTAGCAAGGAAATTTACATAATTAATTCTTTCCAATTTTGATTTTTGAATGTCATAAACAATTTGAAAAAATAAGATAGATGGGTTAATCATATTTATTTTTCCAAATTTCATTTAAACTTTAAAATTAAAAGAATATTAATAATTCTAAATCAAAACTCATACATTTTAAATTAATTTAGTCTTTTGAAACAGCTGTTGCTTTTGCATTAGTTTTGAGTTTGTGAAATGAAAGAATGTCAACAGTAACATTATTGGCTTGTAACACAAATTTAAAGGTTCAGGAACAACTTTTAACTCAGAAAATAGTTTTTAGAACTGTTTTTGTTCTGACTTCAGCCAATTTAACATATAGTAGGTTGCTACTATAATGTTTGAGTGTTTGTCTCAATGACAGAGGTCTAGTCAGAGGTCCTATCTTGGCTTGAAAAATGGCAGATATTTTTAGTGGCACTTGAAGGAAATGAAAGATATTGAGATATTAATTTATTGTAAGATTTTTTAAGATTATTTAACATTTACGAGTTCTTGCATATTTCATTTAGTTGTTTGATGTTAGTTCTTGTGGGTCATATTAACTGCAGTTTGTGTATTGGCATGTCTTTAGGCTTAAATCCTAAAGACATGCTTACTTATCATATAAGTAAAAATAAATATTAATTTCATTCCTAATGATTTTGTATCAGACTTTTAATTCGGTAAGTTATTTAAGTTTGTCTTGGACAGATTCTAAGTAATAAAAATTAATAATTGAAATATATAACATTATAGCTTTCAATTCTCATCTTATAGATTTTTCCTGAAGCATGATGGTGGAACCTTGAGAAAAAATTTGATGGTAATATCAAAATAATTCTTAATTTTCTGGTTTTCACAAATTTCTCTTTCTTGCAAGTTTTACTCTATTTTTCTAAAAAAAACATACTTTCCTCTTGTTACTTTCCTCTTCTAAAAAAACATAATTTCCTCTTGTTATCTAAACCATTTGGTGGTCCACAGATCCCTAGGAGTCCAAGAAACCAATGTAATGGTCTATGGCAGCGGTTTCCAACTTTTTTTCGTTAGCATACCCCCGTGGCATTTCCAACTTCCCAACGAGCAATGCATGCACAAATCTTGCACTGCCTGTTTGTAGAGAGTGCCACCATTTTGAATTTTATTTTGACTTAGTTCTCGGTCCCTTGAGTACCTAAAAGTCTGGTTTTTTTATGCGCGCATGATTTGGGCACCTAATACTTTGTGCCAAATTTTAACTTTTGGCATGTACTCCTTCATACCTCTAAGCTGGTAACACAGCAGGCAGTACGTTTTATAAACAAGACAGTCTTGTCAATAAAAAATTAATAAAAATACTGAATAAATAATGAAAAAAATTAGCGCTTGTAGAGAAAATCTGAAGAAACTAGCTATATCCTTTTCCTTGCTAACAATAAAAAATACTTTTTATAAACAAAAGAATACTTTTTTCAAACAACATGTGGGGATATTGTTGAGAGATAATAATAATAACAGTAACACACCCCACCATCAAAAGTCTGTAGCATAATCACTAATCACACATAATGGTAACCCCACTACCATTGACCGACTGCGCAACATTTATTGATCTGTTGCATTGTACAATTGGCAGCATAAGTTTTTATTTCTATTTTTGCATTTTAAAATGTATAATAAAGTTTGTGATTGTTGCAAGGAACATTTTTTACTTAATAATTTTTTAATACTATTAATTTGTGATACATAAATATATTATTTTTTTCTGCCATAATAAGTAACTTTTTTCTGTACCCCTAAACAACCTGTTGCGTACTCTGGATTGGGAATCACTGGTCTATGGCATTACTTGCATAAAAACTCCAACTTTTTAAAATGCACTCATTTTTTCAATAGCTTGTTGACATGACTTGCAATGACTTGTTGAAAATTTTTTTTAAAGAATGTATACTTGATCAGTTCTTGGTGAAGGTATTTTCAGATTATAAGAAACTAGATGAAAAAGCTTTGAAATATCTAGTTCATTTTGATTCACATATCTTTGTGAACAAACATTTTTGATATTTTATTGTCTGAAGAACAATTGTAGAAAGTAGAAATCATAGTTTTCATAAAAAAAAAATTAAGAAAGATGATAAAAATCTGCCAAATATTTGCTTAGGGAATTGTAAAAATACTGCAAAACAAATTAATAATGAATAGAAGACAAATGTTCAAATTTCTGGTGGAACAGTGCAGCATCAACTTTTGAGAAATGAAATTTAAGTTTTGCGAAACAAAAATCCTAAGTCACTGGCTAATGGCTGTACAACAGAGAAACTGTTGTGTGTGTGCTAAAGAACATGAAAACTGGATGATGAGGAGTGCAAAAGGTAGAATTTAGTGACTAATCAAGAATTTGTATAGGAACTGGTGACCATGGAGGCTAATTTGTTTGAAGATGTACATCAGAAAAATTTAATGACTATTGTCTACTGAAGTCTGATAAATTTCCTGCAAGTTTCATGGTTTGGAATTGCATATACTGGAAAGGTACTGATAAGCTGTGTATAACAAAAAGCCAGAGTTAATTCTGGGATTTATATGGAAATCATTGAGCACTTTCTCATACCATAAGTTGATAATCACTTTGATGATTCTAATAATTGGTGGTTTCAAGATGACAATATTAGTTGTCATTGAGCAAGAGTAGTAAATGATTTGCTGTAGGAAAAGCAAAGCAGGAGTTTAAAAGTGGCCTGCCAACAGTCCAAATATAAAATCTATTGAGAACTGTTGGTAGAAGTTAAGAAAACTTGTTACTTCAAAGACACCAAAGAATAAAGAGGAATTGAGTACAGTAATTACTGTGAGTTGGCAAGAAATTGATAAAAGGTTATTGCCAAACTTTAATGTAATCAATGCCAAAGTGTATAATGGCTGTTGTACATAACAAAGTTAGTCCTACAAACTTTAAATATTATTTATTTATTGAACATGCAGTGGCCAATTTAGCACTTGAGATGCCCAGGTGCAATTCAATCTTGAGGCCTCTCTCTAAATATTTTCAATACCCCTACATCCTACAGTGTGCATTCTATGTGCACGTTTCTTACTCTGGTAGGCACTATACTGGGGATTTAAAAAAAAGTGAGACATAGGAAAATAACATTGAAAATTAACCAATTTAAAATTACAACTGCTTGGTTGTATTTAAGAGGTTACTGATGTTCAGATTGTATTATGAAAATTGAAACTTATTGGTACAAGAATTATTAAGTTTCAATAGGTAAAAGTGTTAAAAACAAAAAAAATCTAGTAATCCATGGATATAAAAAATAATTTATTTTAAAATTTAGTACTGATCAATGTTCCCTCTGAGCTGCGTGGCCGCGCACGAGAATTTATGTGCCGCGCAGGCACACCGATTTGAATTGTTGTATACTTATTTCTCACTCTTTCTGCAACATGATTATTGCTACGTATATTTCAATTAAATACATTAAATCATTGACAAGAGATAATATTTTGTATAAAAGTATGTTTTAAAATGAATTTTAATCTCTACTTTATAATTAATTATTTTAACTTTTATAGAAAAAAAATAAGATTTTATATATAATATATGATCAGAAAACCTTTTTGCTTAGAATCTGCTCAGCAAAAAATTTTTTTGCTCAGAAAAGTATGTGTTCCGCTCATTGACAAAAAAAATTAGATGGAACATTGGTACTGATTACCATCCACAAAATATGTCAGCTGGCATTATTCATTTGTCAATTTAATTTACAGAGTATTGCTAAATTATTAATTATTTTTATTATGAAAAAAATAATAATTAAATAAAATAATTTTTTTTTATTTTGAGAGCTGAATTTTGAGGCCCCTTGATTTATGAGGCCCCAGGCCCATGCCTCATGCGCCTGTGCAGAAATCTGCCACTGTGAACATAATTGAAAAATTGTCAGTAGGACTGTATAATTGTAAAATTTTATCTTCCATGGTGAGGACAAATTCCTCACTATGGAAGATAATTACAGAAGTAATTTATTTGATGTTTGTTCTTAATTTATGTTAAAAATAAATTTTCTTCCTAAAAGCAAAAAAATATAAAAGGAATTTTGTTGCATGGTTCTGATTGGCTTGAAGTACTGTGCATGCAAAAAGTATAATTAAAATTAATTTTATCAAATTGTAAACACTGAAAAATGCACATTTATTTTTTGTTAGAAATTTGGTTGACAGGGATTTTTATGTTAATCAAATATGTTAAGGTCTATAGCTATTCCAATAGTTGGCTTTTCCATTAGTTGATCCATTCATTAATCATGGGAGTCCATTGAATAATGCATAATAATGCATAATGAATAATATGGTATTTTTGAAACCGTGCCAGTAATTTTTAGTAATTCAAACACAAATCATTTATTGTATTATTCAGACACCAGCATAATAATAATAATAAAACTCATATTTTAATTTTAATATTGCATTATGATCTATTTTTATATTTGAGAACTAATATTACATCATTCTAATCTGAATAAATTATTGTTATTTCCTTATCACTTTGGTTTACTTTATACACACTGGATAAGTGGACAGTTTTTATAGCCCTTGAAATATTGACTTATTACAGTTCAACTGTGTGTGTGTGTGTGTGTGTGTTTAAATTAGTTTTTTCAATACAAATTTTATTTAACTATTGATCTATTCAAATATAATATTTCTAAGTCTATAATAAATTAAAATGTTATTTTGTTTCATAGGTTTCATCAATTGGAATGCACTATGCTACATTGAGTTAAATAATTTAATTGTTATCAAAACACACATATTATAAAATTAATTTTTATTGAATTTTTTTCAGAATCAAATACAAGAATTAAAACAGGGACAGATATCCAGTGTAGCCCAACTCCGATCGGCACTTCTGGACCCAGCAGTGAATCTTATGTTTGAGAAAATGCGTAAGGAATTGGATGGCGTGAAAGCACAGCTGGAGGAAACTCAGAATGAACTGAGCGCATGGAAATTCACCCCTGACAGGTGTGGTGTCAGCAACCTCTTCAGGCAGCTACTGCTACCACTACCAAACTTTATTTACCTCATGATAGAACTTATCATGACTCAAAATAGAACTTATCATGACTCAAATAGAACTTATCAGACTCTTTCTTGTGGTTCTTTCTCTGCTCCTGGAGCCACTACAGTCCACCCTTAACATGTCAATGGAATTAGCATCAGCATTGAGAAGCTCAGGTTGGAGGGGTTGTCACATGACTGAGAGCCCCAGTTCCTCAGATGTGTGATTGCTGTTCATGCAGTAAGGAACTATATTGACTGTGTCCTCAGAGGACAAATGACTGAAAGTTTATTCTCCAACCCTAGGCTTTTTTTCCCTACAAGATGAGGGTTATCTAAAAACTGTTTGCAAGAATTGCTAAACAAGCTACTCGATTCAAAGCAAATATGAAAGACTGAGTATAAATAAATCCTGTTTAATACAGGAGTTTACAGAAGGACAGAATATAGGAAATTTTGTAAAAAGGGACAGTTGTCTGTAATTTCAAAAGTGGGGTAAATTCTTGGTATGAGAATATTTTAGTTTGTGATTATTATTTTTTTAGTAGAAATAAACTTTTTATCAGATTTATTCAAAATTTGCCAAAGCATTATTTTTATATTCCAAGCAAGAGCCAAGTATTTATTGATATAAACTCAGTCTTTACATTAGTTAATATAATAATAATGATTTAAAGAAAAATACACTATATTTAATAACGTTTACTTACAGCATTGCATAACAGCGACATTGCATATTCCTTTCTATATAATAAATACATTCAAATTTTCCAATTATCTAAATTGTTTTTTTTTATATATTTCAGCAGTTAAATAATTAATGATCTAATTTGCTTAATATAATCTCAACTTCTTAATTAATTTAGGAATTTTAAATATCATATGCAATATATTTAACTTTTTTTAAATACTAATATGCTTATATATGATTATTTCCATTATTAATATCATACTTTAATTTGTTGTGTCTATTTGAGTATTTTATCAAATATGAAAGCTGTTAATTTCTTGAACTAAGAAATTGATAGCTACAAAATAAGTTCAAATATTTTATTAAAAACCTACCTGATTGTTTATTATTGATTACTATATAAAATGTTTGGCTCTTAAAATTTTTAAAAATAGTTTTAAAAAAAAACTTTGCTACTTAAGTCATTTTATCATGATCTTTAGTTTCATTTATAACGTTCTAAAATTAATAAAATTTATAGAATTTTTGAAAGATCATTTTAAAATATAATTCATTTATTATAGTCAATTGTACAATATTTACATTGTTTATTTAAGAGATTAAGTATTGGTACTGCTGATAACACAATGCTTTGATATTAAATTAAAATTACTGTGTAGCTTAATTTTAAAAATTAATATAATAGATAATTATTACTTTTTTTAACAGTTTGAATGATTAGGGTATTATTTATTCAATCTTATTTAGTTTAGAATATTGCAGTATTTATATTGTTGAACCAATTTTAAACTTTTATGAATTGTTTTGAAAGTATTTTAAATAGTTGAATTCAACGTAAGAATTTTTAGAAGTTGCTTTTCACATTAGTCTTATTTATTTTTTAAATTACCTTCTTTCTTTTTATTCTGAGGCTTGAATGTAATGCTAGGTAGAAACACTGATTACCATCGTCTTCTTTTTTTCCTTGCTACTTTTGTGTAAATTTTGTGCAATTACTTCTGTTCACCTTTATCTTGATGTTCTCATTCTCTTTCCCCTCTTTCCCATTACTTGTCTCTTGTTTTAATGAAGGTTTTAGTTTAGAAAATTTCAATAATAATAATAATAATAATCAAATATACTATTTAATTATTTGTTTTAGATATTGAAATGATGTCATACCTTTTGTTTTTAACTTATATATGACTGATCTGAGAAAATGTTATCATTTTAGTGTTATTATAGAACACATACTACATATGTATACAATGGTTGGTTTATAAATAAGTGTAAATATCTGTAAAATTAATTTGGAAAAGGTAGCTTTTTAACTTTTTCAGTTCTAAATCTCTCAATTTTGTTTTGAATGTTATATTTTTGTTGTTGTACAAATATAATTTAAATACTCAATCAAAAATGTTATTCGTTTTGTTTATGTCATATTATTATGCTTTAGGTGAACTGTTAATAATGCTCTCAAATAGTTGATAAATTTTATCTGTTAACAAAACATTTCAGAATTTATTGTTGTTTTTTAAAGAAATACATTTCCAGATAATCTTTCAAATATCAGATCTGAATTTTTTAGGTATCACTTATATTTAACATCATATAACAAACAGAAATATTGTGCTATAAAAGAATGATGTAAAATGATTTGAATTGTTTAAAATTGCATCCATTTGGATTTGACATTTTAGTAATTTCATATTTTGTGATATATAAAGCATGTGCATATTCAGGATATTAACAAATAGTAACGAGAGTTGATTATTTTTCTGTCTCACATTATCAAACTTTTTATTTATTTGAATTGATAGCATTTCAGTTATTTATAATTCTAACATTAATAACTATATTTGTTGAATATCATTTTTGAATACATATTTTTATAGTTACTAATACTAAATTGTTACAAAAACTACTATTACCAGTAGTAAATAATAATAATAATAATATACTATACTATAACAACTTTGGGCAAAATTTACAAAATCAGTGTTAAAAAATATTCAGATAATATAAATATTATTTATTAACAAATATATTTCAAAATATATTTTATTATCTGAAAAAGAAATGGTATATTATTACAGAAATAAACAAGTTTTTATTAAAACATTGATGTTACTTAATAAATTTAGAAATAGACTATTAAATTTGTTAGTGATTTGAAGAATTTTGTTAGTGAAGGTAGGGTTTAATGGTTAAATAATTTAATACTGACTGGAAAAAGAAGAAATAGTCTGAGAAATTTAAAACTACAATTTTTATTTAATTCTAAGCTTGAAAAGTTTTTCTTTCCATGTATCTGGACCCCTCAAGTTACAAGGGGAATTTGTAAAACAATACCAGCCAAAAAACTTTTCTATCAGCTGATGTTTCAAATAGATTGAGTCTATTTTGAATAAAATGACTTGAACTTGATTTTTATTTTTTCACATACTTTTTTGACAAACAACGTATAATTGGGAGTGACGTAACTCGAAACGACATAAGTCGAGGTATACCTGTACTTCTATAGATGAGAAAAGTTTTTATAAAAAATTTTTAAATGAACAATAAATAGAAGAAACTATTAAAATCCCTATTTTAAATTTTAACTATTTACTTTCCCATATTCTAATTTTATTGTATTCATCCAAAATCTAAGGAAGTTTGAGTTACAAAAACATTTACTAATTTACTTACTAAAAATTTTTAACATTGATAGAAAAGTCATCTTTATCAAAAAAATATAAATTTTTTAGTGATTGTGACATTTTTTTTGTATCATTAATAATTAAATTTACTCATATCTTTACTTATATTTTAATTCTAATATAAAATGTAACTAAATAAAAATGAACAAAATTAAATAGAAAATTTATCATTTTTCTAAAGTGATATCATATGTAATAAAACCATTTCACTGAATATTTTGACTACCTAGTAAATTTTAGTTTAGTAACATGTTAACTTTTAGAAAATAATTGTTGTACCTGCAATAACTCTAGAAATAGTTTTGTACTAATGATAGCAATTGTAATGATACAAATTGTAATTGTGCGCATCATTTATAAAAATATACCAAATTCATATCTAAATTTCTAAATGTTTCTAAAATTTATAGCTTGTATTTTTATCTTGTTAATAATAGCTTCTTAGTGTGATTATTAATTTATTAACATTGCTTAATATTTTGTATTGTAATAATTAATTTGAATACTTTTTAATTATTAAATTGAATAAAATACAAAATCTGTAAGATATTAAAGCTGCTTCAAAAATTAACTTGAAACAAAATCATTTGAAAGTAACTAAACAGTTTAATTTTACTGAATTAAAAAAAAATCTTTTTTGTAATTATTATCAGGAATTTTTAAATTCACTTTGTTTTTTGAAGTAAAAATTGAATTAAAAAAGAGAACAAGGTATTTTTTTAAGTTTAAATTTGATCTATTGATCAATGAACTTCCTCTTTAATGCTGTATTTAATACAGAGCACATCTCCCATTTTGTCAAATTCTCTAATTATTAAATTTTAAGTAAATTATAATACAGACATATGTATACAAGTTCATAATTACATATGTATTACTAGTAGCCCAGGATGCCCCCTAGTGGGTGTTCCGGACTACTAGTAATACATATCGGTGTCATTCCAAGGTATAAATAATAAATTCATATCAATAATAAAATCCTATTACAAATAAAAATATCTATAGATACTTGCAACATGGCAGCTGGTGGTTTTTTGTTTTGTTTATTGAGAACTCTCTTAATATTAATATAATAAATATAAGTTGCCATGTAAAACTTATTATTTTTATTTAAAATGTATTATGTGATTGTGGCAAGAACACCAGATGACGCTTTTATCATTTTTGCATTTTAACTACGGAGGCAGTAGCCTAAAAAGGAAGATCGTCTCCGTGAGTATTTGTGATTTTTTATGAACTGCTGATGGTGCAAACAACAAAAGAAATGACTGAAACAAAAATTTTTTTGTAAAAAAGTCGTACTTATATTTATTATATTAGTATTAGATAATCGTTGGCCATGTAAAACTTATTATTTTTATTTAAAACTCTCTTAATCTTACCCATTTTTGGTTATTCATTATATATATATATATATTCGTTTTTTGTTATAATATTCGTTTACTAATAAATTCCTATTACAAATAAGAATAATAATATACTGAATTTATTGTTAATTTAAATAATAGCTAGGGACACTCCTAGTGACTCTTCTAGGCATTTTGTTACAGATTACAGGTATACAAACGGCACAATCAATGGCTTATATTATT